AACACACAAGAAATCCATTGAACTCTTAGCAAACACCCTGGCAACCTTCCTGCAATGCCCTAGATCAGAAGTCTCAAACAGCCAGCCAGCAGGCCATTTGCGACCACCCCACCCCCACCCCACCCTCCAGCCCACAGCTGACGTCAAAAATTTAGTAAGATTCGGCCCCCAAAAAATATATTTTTGAATCTCTGTCATTGTTGTGCAGTCGCATATACACTTACTGGACATTTAAAGTATTGTACTATATATCCAGGTTGCTATTGATTTCTTTCAGCATGTGGTCGAGAGTAACGAACATGCAGAATTTTCCGGAGCTAATTTAAACGTTGAAATATATGTCCATAAGTGCTCTATTTTTACTAAAGCTCTATTTTTGAAAATATTTAAGGTTCATTTAATTATATTGCCTGTTTTTTGTTGTACAAACACTTTTTCGTGGCTTATACATTATGATAGTGGTGTAAATATGATAATTTTGCTATTATTTGACAAAAATGGTCGCATTTAATAGATTTTCCTTTAATAGATTTGCATAAAGATGTGCATTAATAAAATTTGACTGGTGGCTGACCTACGTATATATTGAACATGTAGAAGTGTATACAAATATATTTATATATTAGGGTTGGGCAATGTCGACAACGAACGATGTCTAATGTCAAACATCGTGATGGAAGATGGCATCGTTGTCGTAGTCAGCGGTGAATTAATTAGTTATTTTATCATTTGTTTATAATCAAATTAATTATTTGTAGCCTGCTGTTTCAACTACCTGACCCACATGATCTTTGTTTTACTCGTAATCAAATCATAAATAAATAAAGATAAGTTACACACAAATAACCACCTGTCAATTAGAGCTGCACGATTCTGGCTAAAATGAGAATTGCAATTTTTTTAGCTTAAAATAAAGATCACGATTTTCTCACGATTCTGTAGATGTAAAATAAAGGTTAATATCTGTAGGCTATTATTATTGTTATTTCCCAAACATATGATAAAACAACAATAATATTATGTGTAGGTCGACTCTTGGTTAAAAAGCAAATATTTGCTAAAATCATACCTCTATAATGCGATATGATTATTTAAATAATGTGTGCGCTTTCAGTTTCATTTTCACTTCCAAGTGTGGTTCATACTTCCCGTACGGCTCCCAAACAATCACTCTGTCCCACAAATTGAATGCTATTTACCACTGTACTATTTGTTATTCACTGCTTATGCAGCTTCTGCTCACTAAAGTAGACTTCATTAACAGGCACGGGCCCGCCCTCTCTGTGGTAACAGCGCACGGTCAGCTCCGTCACGTGTGATTTTGCGGCCGTGAAAACATTATTACATGAAGACAGAAATGACATTTTTGGGTAAATTATACTTTATAAATACAGTATGTGACTTTTTCAACACAATTTAGTAAGGGTGTCACGATCCCCCAAATCTTCGATTCGACTACATTTTCGATTCTAAAGTCACGCTTCGATTCGATTTTCGATTTAAAAAAGAAAAATTAAACAAAATCATAAACAAATCATACAGTAAATGCATGTTAGATCGGGCATGTCCTAACTCGGTCCTGGAGGGCCGGTGTCCTGCAAAGTTCAGTTCCAACCCCAATCTGACACACCTGGGCTAGCTAATCAAGCTCTTATTAGGCTTTCTTGAAACATCCTTGCAGGGGTGTTGAGGCAAGTTGGAGCTAAAATCTGCAGGACACTGGCCCTCCAGGACTGAGTTTGGACAATCACACATACAATCATCATACCCTGCCCTGGATGATAAAAGTGACACCCTAGCAACCATTGCAGTCAACTTAGAAACCATTAGGAAAACAATCTGAACACCTTTAGAAAGTGCCTAGCAACATCCTGATACTAAAGCATGCAAGAAATCAGTTAAATCCACTCAGAATTCCTTTCAAAGAACAAACATCTAGCAAATACCCTGGCAAGTGCCCTAAGTGTGGTTTATTCATAAACTAATTTCGAGAGGATCACGTGCTTATAATCAACACGGCTGGCTCCTTGTTAGCTCCGTAATCAACCCTATTAGATGATTACGGAAGCATTATAAATAACCTGAGTTTTCCACTCCAGTTATCTTCGTCTTGAAGCTCCCCCCCTTCCACCCCTACATCCTCCCACTTTTTCTGATCGGGCGACACGGTGGCCCAGTGGCTAGCACTGTTGCCTCACAGCAAGAACACCGCTAGTCCAACCCATCGGGCTGGTTGGTGTTTCTGTGTGGAGTTTGCATGTTCTCCCCGTGTTCGCGTGGGTTTTCCCCGGGTTCCCCGGTTTCCTCCCACCGTCCAAAAACATAAACCATAGCAATTGACTAAAACAAATTATCACCCAATACAACCTGAGTTTACACTTCTCACGGTGACCAGCAGGGGAGTTCTCGAGACCTACCTGACCTCGAATTCCCCTCTCGCCCTTCTAACGGGAGGGAGCCCCGGGCTCGAGGATATTACGAGCTCAGGGCTCTCTCCCGGGACAGCATGCCAAATACGCTTTATTGATTATCAGCTAAGTGTGAACTCTTGAAATGACAAAAGTGACACCCTAGCAACCATTGCAATCAACTTAGAAACCATAAAAAAAAAAAAAAAACAATCTGAACAGTGCCTAGCAACACCCTGCCAGTGTCCTACACAACACCTATAATAACACCCTAGCAACTCTCTGGCAGCAAAATACTCCTTAATTTCTACCTTCAACCACCAAAACTCCATGGCAACTGGCAGGTAATCTCTCAGGACACCATGGCAACACCTTTATGACCTCTCATGACTTGTTTGCAACTAGCTTGCAACGCCACAGCAACCAGCACAAGCAATTTCGCAACTCAAATCAATTTATCCTGACTGCACTGCCTGTAAAATCTTCGGGCTTTTAAGCTTTTCGGCTTCTTGACAAAACTTTGCTTTTTGTAGCTCTCCGGCATCAATTCCCGTTCCTCACGCTATTCAACTCCCATCCTCTACCAATCTGTTTTGTATTTCCTGTCCACTCTGTGTGCGTTTATTGATGCTCCTTTCCTACAGTATGTGTTTATTCATGCTCGCCGCAGCCACTGGATTCATGCATAAACACACAAACATGTTTCCATGATTACTGTGTGCTAGGAATGAAAATCATCCCTGTAAACCAGCATATCCATCCATCCATTCATCCGTCCATCCATCCATCTGTAGATACATCAATCTATCCATCCACACAATCATCCACACATCCATCCATGCATCCATCTACAGTATACATCAGCCTATCTATCTAAACATGAATCCCTACCATCCATCCCTCCATTCACCATCCATTTATTTATCCATCCATCTCAACCATCCATCTATCCATGCATCATCCCTCCATCTATTTATTCATCCATCCATCTATGCTCCATACATCCATACATTGATCTATCCATCAAATTATCAATCCATCCATCCATCCATCCCTACATAAATACATCAGTTTATCTGTCCATACATCCATCTATGCATCCATCCATCCATCCATGAACAATCCATAAATGCAGCATTCTACTATTATACACCATCCATCAATTATTCATCTATCTGCCAATCATTCATCTATTCATGCATTATCCATCCTTCCATTTATCCATCCATACATCCATCCATGTCATGTTACATCCATTCATCCATCCATACATCCATACCTACATACCTACATACATACATACATACATCTATTCATCAAACTATCTGTCCATCCATCCCTACATACATACATCGATCTATCAATACATCCATCCATCCATGCATTCATCCATCCATAAACCATCCATAGATGCATCTATCTATTAATCTATCCATCCAACCAATCATACATCCACACATCCATCCATATATACATACATCAGCCCATTTATCCATCCATACATACATCAAACTATGCATCCATCAATCCATCCACATTTCACTCGCCATCAATTATTCATCTACCAATCCATCCATGTATCATCCATCCCTCCATCTATCCATCCATCCATACATACATTATTCTATTCATCTTATCTATTATTCATTCATTCATCCATCCATTCATACATCAACCTATCCATCCATTCATTTATCCATCCACCATCCATCCAGCCATCTATCTATGTACCATCCATCTATACATACATACATCAATCTATCCATCCAGCCGTCCATTTATACATTTATATATTCATCCATCCATCTATCATTCACCATCCATTAATTATCCATCCATCTACCAATCATCCATCCATCCATGCATCATCCATCCCTTCGATTATCTATCTATCCATCCACCATCCATACATCCATTCATACATACATACATCAATTTATCCATACATACCTTCATTTATCCATCCATCCATCCATTTACCCACATACTATCCGCCCATACATAAATATATCAATCTATCTATCTATCCATACATACCTTAATTCATCCATCCATCTATTAATCTATCCATTCATCCATCTACCCATGCACCATTCATCTATACATATATGAATCTATATATCCATACATACCTCAATCCATCCATCCATTCATCCATCTACCTATGCACCATCCATCCATCCATCCATCCATCCATCCATCCATCCATCCATCCACCCATGCACCATCCATCCATACATACATATATTAATCGATCTATCCATACATACATCAAACCATCCATCCATCTACCTATGCACCATCCATCCATCCATCCATACATATATCAATCTATCTATCTATCCATACATATCTCAATCCATCCATCCATCCGTTAATTTTACTTCCTCAAATTAAATGTAGAAGTTGGTTTGTGTTTTTTAAACCGCAGCTGTAAGACTGGAAGCTTTAGTGCAGTTTAGACACTGTGATGCTTTTAAGTCTTAATGAAAAGGTCACGCAGGAAACTCAAGATGTGTTCATCACTGCACAAATATTCATGACGTCTCCATTCATGTTATGACCAGACTGTTGTTGTTTTTTTCTCTTTAGAGCAACTTCCTTGGAACCAGCCGCTTCTCCGTGGCCGATCTCCTCCATTCCAAAGACCAGCAGCTTTCTCTCAGCCTGAGGTGAGTTGCGATGTGGGATGCTATTTATCATGCTGCGCTGCCGTTTTCTGCTGTAAACTTCATTTGGTGTGTTTGGTGCACGAGTGAGGATCTCTGGAGGGAGATGATGTCAGGTGCACACAGCTGATCAAACACGACTGAGGCTCCAGCAGCAAACAGGCCATCTGCTGCTGGATTTGCCACATATTTAGTTGCCACACAACTTGATTCGGCTGTCCAATGAATGAGTTTCTTGTTCTACGTCAGGGCTGGGTTGCATGGGGCTTTATAGCATAGTAGATTTATAATATTTGCACATCAAGGAGAGTGGAATGATGGGTAAATAAAGAGCAGGTTGCATCCCAAACAGGTCAGAACATGGAGTTTAGTAGCTTCTTTTTTTTTTTTTTAGAATTATTTTTTCGGGGTTTTCACCTTTATTTTTGACAGGACAGTAGAGAATTGACAGGAAAACATGGGGAGCAGAGAGTGGGGAAGGATTGGCATAGGACCGCGAGGCGGAATCGAATCCGGGTCGCCGCAAGCACCGGAGTTCATGTGTCGACGCACTAACCACTACACCACTGGCGCCGACGTTTAGTAGCTTCTTGAGTGTGAATTTCAGTTCTTTTGCCTCAGCTTTGACATTTACCTCATCCAGAGTTTAGACTGTTTTATGATATCGATTTTTACTGTTTTCTCTCATCTAAACAAAAACATGGTTTGTTTTAAGAAATAATATTCAAAAATGAAGTGAGTTTTTCCTTAATACAAGCTAAATAATCAGCAAATGGGGTGGAAGAATTATCTTTTTTTTTTTGCTTTGACGTAAGATTATTTTGCTTAGCCTATTGGCAGATTATATTGCTTGTTTTAAGGAAAATCAATTAATTTCTTACATTATTTCTTAAAACAAGACCATGTTTTTACTTATCTAGAAAAGCATCATGATTTAAAAGAGCCCCTATTATGGGTTTTTGAAAATGACCTTCCATGCAGTGTGTAACTCAGCTCTTAAGTGAAGTGAAATATCCAGCTATGGCTTAAATCTGAAAGTGCACAGTGTTTAAAACTATTGATTCATTTAGTCGATTCATAGTTCTTCAAATGAATCGTCTTGAAAACGAGTCTCCGCTTCGGCGTGACGTCGATACAAATCTTAAGCCCCAACTAATTGTTGCACATGCAAACTAGGGAAAATTTCAACCTGCGGCCCCGCCCACAAACACAATAGCAAAGAAAAAAAGGAAGACGAACGCATTTGCAGATCCCAGTTGAATCAAGTCATGAAGACGCTGTGCTCAGCTGGATATTATTAGAAGTGCGAGGGAAAGTTAGTGTTATTTTCTCTACCCAAAGATGAAACTGTGAGGAGTCAGTGGTTAAGGTTTATTTTTGCAAAAATACCTCAGCATTAAAGCCCTGATTTTTCTGATGAGTGCTTCAGTAATCCACACACTTACAACGGGGATTCGTCAGCCAATTGTTAAAGGAAGGATCAGAAAATACTATTGATGTAAGGGACTTTGGATCAGTGGATCATGGATCAGTTTCTTCCTCTTTTTCACAAGTATAAGTAAGTGCATTTCCATGGCTGCCTCCTCGTTTTCCCTAGCTTGTATTTAATTGTGTTTTGTTACTTGTAACCGCTTGTACTGTATCAGGTTAACTCTATATCCTCATATCACGTGTAAAGCCACTTTAAAAACACAACGTGTGAAGCTTTGTTTACGGATTTAAAAGCGTTTGTGAGCTCGCGATAAACTGCCGTTTGTCGTTGCTTTGTCCATCGTCAGCTGTTCCTACACAAGTGCAGGGGTCAAGATTGAGAATAGTTCAGCCTTTGCCGCTGTGTGGATTGATACTGAATGTGTGTCATGGTTAAGAATAGAGCAATATGCTGGTGTTTAACTGCACTACTTTTTATGTACACATGCATTGAGCTCACACACATACCTGCCAATATTTGGTCCCAGAAAATCTGGGAGATCGGGGGGTTAGGTTCGGAGGGTTAAAAATATGGGATTTTTCGGTGATAAATAACAAAGTGGGTTTGTGACTGGAGATGGGTCTGAAGTACGGGAGACCCCCGGGAAAAACAGGAGTGTTGGCAGGTATGCTCACACATACACTATGCTGTCTGACTTCTTCAATATTGTTGATAAGCCATAGTGAGCATTTCACTCTGTCTCGCACTGAACGCTGTCGAACCACCACAGACTGTCGTCGGTCCAATCAGCGCAGATTAGCATTGTGTGTGTTTGGGAACAAAATAAATGCTGATTATAAGACAATGAAAGTGTTTTTTGACCTTGCATGCATATCAGCCTGCTGTTGGAGACCCTTAAAACCAAAATATGACCCTTTTTAATGTATAATAGGGGCCCTTTAAGAATGAATCAATATTTGGACAAAAAACAAGACTAAAAATCTACACAAGAAAAGCGTTTTTGCAGTGTATGAATCATCTTTGTCTCTGTATAAATATAACAGATCACACATTCAGTCATATTTACCTTGATTATAGTCTGTATCTATTTAAACTTGTGAGTCTTGTTGTTTTCTTCTTATTATTACTCTTTTGTTTGATTGTTTGTCTCTTGTTGGGTCATTGGACTGTAAACTTTCCCAGCGTTTAGTGGCTTTAAATCTAATCTGATCTCAGAGAAGTGAAATGAGGTTATGGGGTTAGAAATTTACACCCCGCTGGGTTACATGCATTTGCTCCATTGTAGATGCTCAGTGTGATAAACTCCCCACCCACCAAGATCTTCAAATGAATCAGCTTTTTGTCGTTGATGTCTTTGTGGATAGCCTTGTGGTTGAGTACATCCACAGACAGCATCAGTTCAGTTTAAAGCAAGCCGAGCTTGATTCCTGCCTTTAGGTCCTTTGCAGATCCTGCTTTCCTTACTTTACAGAGATGCCCAAACTATGGGTCAAATTTGGTGCATGGTAAACTTTTATTTAGAAATAAGGACATCTGAAAAGAGAGGGAGAATGATGGGGATGGTTTCGAGATTGTCAGCTCAAGTTTAACGTAACCATTAGTTTTTTTGTTTTATTGTTAAAGGCTAATGGAAATTAAATGGTGTAAAGTATTCAGATTTTGTTAAAAATGTTTTGTTTTAATGACATTTGTAGAGAATTTGGTGAGCAAATCAAGTCAAAGGCAGATTCTGCTTGACTAGTGTATTCAGAATTCATGATAAAAAAGCCATCCAGCCATACTGTACAGACATATTGTGGTTAAAGAGTGTTTAAAGTATGTTTAAAGATGTGTAACTCATGAGCAGTATCCTTTGTGCTTCTGTCAGAGGAGTTTGTGAGCATGTCCACAGTTATTAAAACTATTATGTTTAGAAATGTGTTGAAATTTTTTGTCTCTGTTAAACAGAAATTGGGAAAAACTAAACGGGGGCTAATAATTCAAGGGGTCTAATAATTCTAACTTTAACTATATATATATATATATATATATATATATATCAAATACTTGTCTTGAGCCTAATTCTAAGCAATTATACATAGATGGAAAGCTTATTTATTTATAATTTAAAATGATAATGAGTGTTTGGTTTCGACCAATCACAACAGATCATGCCATTTGACCAATCAGAGCAAAGCAGATTCTCAGAGATGAGGGATCAGGGGTATCATTTGTAAAAAAAACTAGCCAGAATAAATGTAACTGTATTTATTAATGATGATGGCTCAAATGGTGATTTAGAATGGTTTAGCTGAGTCAGTATTTAAGTTAAACATGTTTACTCAGAGTTTGATTACAGCTGCGCACATTCTCTCTTCAAGTATGTTTTTTATAGATCACAACTTTTGTGTGGGAGGTGGCGCACGCATGTTTCCACCTACGGTTTGTGCAAATGCCATGATTGTAAATGAGACCCCTGATCCTTAAACAAATCGCTTGCAAACTGACAATATAGATCTGATTCTGCAATGGTTATTAAAAATAATAATAATAATAATGATAAAAATGTGTTTTTGACCTGGGGTGGATTTAATCCTTTTATAGGAAACAAAGGTAGCAACTTGTAGGTATTTGGTGCATTTTGAAGGGATCCTATTATGCAAAACCACTTTTATAAGGGGTTTAAACACAGTTGTGTGGCAACAGTGTGTGAATATAAGCAGCTTCTAATGATAAAAAAATGTTAATTGTATTTCGTATAGTCAGACTTGCTAATAACAGTCTTCAGAAACACTTTGATTGACATTCTACTGTTGTACGTGCCATCAGAGGGGGAAAGCCCTGCCCATTAGTGACCATCTCTCCCCATTACAATAGGAGGTTAGTCTTGTTTTTGAATCTGCCATTATGCTGACACAGACATTTGTAGCTCCGCCTTCTTTTGAAAAGAGCACAATCTCATTTGAATTTAAAGTGGCAGTCACCAACATAGCCCGATTAGTATCAAAGCCTGAAAGGGACAGATTCAAAGAGTTACACAACATTATTTGTGTGGTGTTTTGAGCTGAAACTTCACACACATGCTCTCTAGCTACATCAGAGACTTCTTCTACATAATAGGTGACCTTTAAGAAGGCTCGGAGTGGATTGGTTTGCGTCATTGCTGATCATTGATGATCAACAGTCTTATGTTCGTGAGACTGACAGCCTGAGGGATTCTCCGAGACACAGGTCGCACTGTGATTATTAATATTGATTATTGTTTGTGTTTAATTGGCATGTTGGTCATGCTGTAGTGCAGACGCTGGCCTTTGGTGCCTGTCGTTTGTTCTTCTGTCTCGGGCTGCTTGTTTTGATTGTTTCTGTCTTTCTTGAAGCTCAGAATAGTGTTTCTCTTTGGTGAGCAGCAGCACAAGTACAAAAGCAGTGCTGCTCTGTGTCTTGTGGAATGCGGCAGGTGTACAGTGCTGGAGTCTTCTGAAAATCACACCTCTTTTTTGCCATGTTGTGAAAAATGCAATGCTGGAATGAAAAATGAAGGGGAATGTATAGCTTGAGATTTACATCATGCTGTATTGGGGTTAACTGTGTA